AACCAACATTATTCTCAATGGAGAGAGAATGAAAACATTCACCATGTGAACAGGAACCAGACAAGGATGCCCTCTATCACCACTTCTATTCAATGTTTTATTGGAATTCCTACCCAGGGCAATTAGACAAGAAAGGGAAATCAATGGCATCTAAATTGGTAAGGAAGAAGTCAAACTATCCCTATTTGCAAATGATGTGATCATATACACAGAAAACCCAAGAGACTCAGCAAGAAAACTACTGGAATTAATGGAAGGATTTAGGATACAGAATCAACATACAAAAATCAATTGGATTCTTCCACACCAGCAAAGAGATCTCTGAAAAGAAAATGAGAGAATCAATACCATTTACAATATCTACCAAAAACATAAAATACTTGGGAATAAATCTTACCAGGGATACAAAAGACCAGTACAAAGAAAATTACAAAACACCACTTCAAGAATCCGTAAGAAATCTGCATAAATGGAAAAACATAACATGCTCATGGATAGAAAGACTGAACATTGTAAAAATGTCAGTACTACCCAAAGCAACCTATACATTCAATGCAATTCAGATCCAGATTCTAACAACATTCTTTAAGGATATGGAAAAACCAATTACTAATTTTATATGGAAAGGAAAGAGACCTCAGATAAGAACAGAACTACTGAAGAAGAATAACAAAGTAGGAGATCTCATACTCCTAGATCTCAAATCCTATTATACAGCCATAGTAGTCAAAACAGCCTGGTATTGGTACAATGACAGACACATAGACAAGTGGAACAGAATTGAGAACCCAGAAATAGATCCATCTACCTATGGTCAACTGATCTTTGACAAAGGGCCAAAATCCACTAAATGGAGAGGAGATAGTCACTTTAACAAATGGTGCTGGCCAAATTGGATATCCATTTGCAGAAAAGTAAAACAAAATCCTTACTTCACACCATACTAAAAAGCTTACTCTAGAGGATCCAAGACTTAAATGTGAAACTTAAAACTATAAAGTTCATTAAAGTAAATAGGCACAAACTTAAGGGTTCTAAATTATGGCATAAATAGACTATCAAACATAACCCAAAATGCACAAATAGCAGAAGATAAACTAGATGATTGGGTCCTTCTAAAGGATTAAATTTTTATATGTTTCAAAAAACTTCTCCAAAAGAGTAGAAAGAGAAACTACTGGCTAGGGAAAAATATTTAGCAGTGACATATCTGACAAGGGACTTCTCTCTTAAATTTATAGAAATCTCCAACAGCTCAACATCAAAAAGACAAAGAATCCAATTTAAAAATGGGCAGAAGACACAAACAGAAACTTTACCAAAGAAGATATTCAGGTGGCCAACAAACACATGAAGAAATGTTCACAATCATTAGTCATTAAACTCAAAACTCACTGCCGTAGCATCAGATCTGACTCCTAGCGACCCCTCCCCTTGAGTTTCTAAGGCAGTATCACTATGGAAGTAAATTGCCCAAACTTCCTTCCAAGGAGTGGCTGGTGAACCACCAGCCTTGTGGTTAGCAGTCAAAATGCCTTAGGCACAGATGCAAATCAAAACACCAATAAGATACCATTTCACCACAGCACAAAGTTCAAAAAGACAAAATAACAAATGCTGGCAAGGATGTGGAGAGATTGGGACTCTCATAAACTGCTGGAGAGATTGTCAAATGAAACAACAACTATGAAAATTGGTATGGCAATCCCTTAAAAAGTTGGAAATAGAAATACCATTTCATCCAGCAATCCCATTACTAAGTATATATCATAAAGAAGTGAGAGCTGGGACACAAACAGATATATGCACACCTCTGTTCATCACAGCACTATTCACAATACAAATGAGATGGAAACAACCTATGTTCCCATTATTAGAGAATGGATAACCAAACTGTGATACATACATATAATGGAATACTATGCAACATTGAAGAATAATGTAGAATCTGCAAAACACTGCATAATGTAGATGAATGGAAGACATTCCAAAAACCAAACTCACTGCCACTGAGTCAATCTTGACTCATAGTGACCCCCATTAGGCTTCCAAAGTGGTAAATCTTTACATAAGTAGATTGCCCCATCTCCCTTCCATGGAGCAACTGGTGGATTTGAACTACAAACTTTCTGGTTAGCAGTCAAATGCCAAGGGCACTGCCCCACCAGAGTTCCTTTAAAGGATATTAAGCTGAGTGAAATAAGTCAATCATAGAAGGACAAATATTGTATTAGTCTACTATTGTAAAAGTCAAGGAAAGTTTTATATATGGAAAACCAAAAAAAAAAAAAAAAAAACCCACTGCTGTCAAGTCAGATCCAACTCACATTTTTTGGTTACCAGGGATGAGAGGGGAGTGACAAGTATTGATTTGGGTGAAGGGAAAGGCAATATACCAAAAGTAAGAGACCAACACAATAATACTAAGGAAAAGGAAGAGACAGAGAAGTGCACAAGAGGTACAGGCAACAAAGATAAACACTCTCACATATACAATATTTCATTATCAGTAATAAACATTAATTTACAAGTGGATATACAGGTAGACAAGCTGAACGATCAGGCACATCTAGGCAAAAGGGAATATACTGATGACCATATATAAGCCTGGCAGACAATATTTCTACATATGTATTTGTGCTATAAGAATGTCCATCTAAATAGAACTAACTGGGGGCAAAGTTATGAAAACTTCTTAGCCACTGCCAAGGACCCTGAGGGAGCAAGCTGTTGGGTCTGTGGGCTCAGGACCATTTTTGCAGGGGACTTGAAGCTGAACTGGCATAATACACTACACAAAAAACACTGTTCTACATTCTACTTTGGTGAGTAGTAACTGGGGTCTTAAAAGCTCACAAGCAGCCATATAAATGCAACAATTGGTCTCTCTTCCTCCAGAGCAAAGAATAATGAAGAAAACCAGAGATTCATGAAAACAATTAGTCCAAGGAACTAGGGGACCATTCAAACTTCAGCCTATATGACAATGAGACCAGAAGAATTAGATGGTGCTCAGCTATCGTCAACCACTCAGAAAGGGATCAGTGCAGGAGATCCTGGATAGAGTGGGAGAACAATTTGGAATAAACCTTAAAATCATAAAAAAAAGGAAAACAAAAAACAGGCTTACTGGTCAGATGGAGCCTGGTGAAACTCCCAAGACTATGGCCCCTAGTGGCTATTCATGCCTGGAACTGAACTCATTCTTGCAGCTTCCAGCCAAACAATAGACAGATGTACAGGCTGAACATTTAAACCAGGTAGATACACTCCTTAGAATAATCAATCATGGGAGATCAGAAGGGCAGTATTTGCACAGGGAGATAGCTCAGGGGCAGGAATGTATTGGAAGGAAGAACACAGGGAAGAGATAACTACAGGGAGACTACAGGGAGGAAGTGAGAAGAGAGCTGGTACACTGTGGGGATTTCAGTCATCAACCTCATGAAACAAAATGTGTATAAACTGCTGTATGGAAAATGAATATCCTCTATAAACTTTCACCCAAAGCACAATTAAAATTTTAAAAAAAGAAAAATGTCACATTGGCAAATGTTGTGTTATATACATATTTACAACAATTAAGGGAGAGAGAGGGAGCACTGCACTGTAACAAAGGGCAACTCTTGATGAAGACTGAGTTTATGAATCATCCATAATCCATAGGCTTTCTCAGGACATGTATCAGAGTCTAGTTTTCAACCTTCTATTATATTAAGAAGCTCTGGTGGTGCAGTGGTTAAGACATTTGGCTACTAACCAAAAAGTCAATGGTTCAAACCCACCAACTGCTCCATGGGAGAAAAAATGAGGCCATCTGCCCTGGTAAAGATTTACAGCCTGGGAAACCACATAGGGCAGTTCTATTCTGTCCTATAGGGTCACTATTAGTTGGAATTGACTCAGTATTAGTGAGTTTATGATATTGTACTCTACTGCCATCAACAAATCAGCAATAAAGTTGTATTTTACAGTACTATCAACATCTAAGGAGCTCTGGTAACATAGTGGCTAAGGCACTTGACTGCTAACCAGAAGGCTGAGGGTTCAAACCCACCAGCCACTCCTCAGAAGGAAGGTTGGGCAATCTACTTCCATTGTGATACCACCTCAGAAACCCAAGGAGGGTCACTATGAGTCAGGCCCAACTCGATGGCACATACAACAAGAACATGAACATCTAATGCCTTTTCATTGTGAAATGGAATAGTTCTAGTAATATGTTACTATTAAACAAGATCACTTAATACTAGTTAATATTTAATGAGTTCCAGGCACTATGCTGAGCATTTTGCATGCATTCATTTAATCCTCACAACAAACTTATGGGATAAACCAACTACTGTCAAGTTGACTTCAACTCATGATGATACCATGTGCGTCAGAGTAAAACTGCACTCCATAGGGTCTTTAATGGCTCATTTTTCAGAAGTAGATTGCCAACCCTTTCTTCTGAGGTGCTACTGTGTGGATTCAAGCATCTATCCTTTCAGTTACCAACTGAGCACTTTAACAATTTGTATTCCCCAGAGATTTCCTGTCCTATTATTATTCTCATTTAAGAAATTAGAACAGATCACAAGGATAAGGAAAATTGCCTAGGGTCTAAAAGATAATAAATAGACAAGCTAGGATCTGAACCTGATCTAGCTGTGTCATTTGACCATTACCCAATATTCTTTATATAAGCTAAGCACTTAGAATGAGAATCAACTTTTAAACCTAAAAACAAAACTTTTAAACCACTAAAACAAAGTAAGAATACATAACAGTTATACTTTCTTAGCTGTTTTTTTATTTTAAAACATATGTTCTAAATTTTATATATAACATGCATAAGTATATATGTTTATGACCTTATGAATAATAATAACAAGTATCATTTATTGAGCACCTATTATGTGCCAGGCATGTAACTATGTACATTATCTCTTTTACTCTTCTTCACAATTCTGGCAGTCCCATATATTCAGGCCTGTTTTACACTGGAGGACACTTACCCACATAATAGTCATTGTGAGAAATAATATACAGATCATGCCCTTCTTTTCCTTCTTTAAACACTTCTTCATAGGATTTTGGTGGATTCACCACATCTCTGGCAGACAATTCTAAAGGAAAAATTAATGAAAGTTACCAGACTTAAGACATGTTTTGTCTATTTATAATGTATATAAATTGGCTACAATAAATGACAAAAGGAGTATGCTGACTACATTAGCCACACTGACACCCTGGAAGATCATGAAGCCAACAACGAAGATTTACCAAAAAAGACAGGACAGCACCTACGTGACACTGTGCAAGGGACTTATTTGACTTGACTCATTCCCTAGCATTCTGAAAAATATCAGAAGTCTGTATAGGTTTACCTTTTAGGTTCTCCTGGGCCACTGCTCCAAGCCCAGTTAATTTCCTGATCCTGAGACTATCTGGACAAATTTGGTTGCAGTTTGTGCCAGACTTCTCAAGATGACCTAAGCAGATCTGAATCACAAATCAGTTACAGAAATTCTGAGGCGCTATGAAATAACCATAGCACAAATTTTGCCAGTTACAGACTGGAGCATACACCTTGAGTCTATTTTGATCTGAAACTCCATCCTCAAAGTAGCCACAGATGTCAGGAAAATCATTGGAATCAGGAAGAAATTCTTCATTCTATTGGTCCCAGTATCAGAGGTTAGTTTACCAGTTGCTTTCCCATGACTGGTGGTCCCCAATTTGAGTACAGCCATACAAGGATTTTGTGGGTTCATTTTTAGATCATCATTATAAAGCAAATATCACAATTAAGTGAGTCACAAAAATTTTATGATTTTCCAGTACATATAAAACTTATATTTACACTATATTGTACTGTATTAGGTATGCAATAGCATTAAGAAAGAGTTTGAAATATTGTGAGAATTACCAAAATGTGAGATAGAGACGTGAAGTGAGCACATGCTGTTGGAAAAATGGCTCTGATAGACTTGTTGGATGCTGGGTTGCCACAAACTTTCAGTTTATAAAAAACACAGTATCTGTGAAGCGCAATAAAATGAGGTACACCTGTACATGAATTATTTTGTTTTCATTGTGTTACATAATAATTTATAAATACACCTTCCTTTACAGTTTCATTCCTCCCTTTCAAGCAACACAGTTGGCAACTAACATAAATTAAAATATCTTACTTCATTTTGGCCTTTCTCCCAAGGATTGTGGCCTGAAAACAAGTAAAGAATACCAGAAGATGACCCTACTTAAAATAATCCTATAAAGTGGTATTTCTTTTTGATATATTAATCCGTTATCCCTATTATTACACATAATATACACACACATTTTGAAGCATTCTTTTTAGTGCATATTTTAAAGTACGCCTAGAAAGTATTTTCTATATTTAAATAAACTTATCCTTAATAGCAGTCATGATATCATTACTGTAATATCATGTCTACTAACAGTTTACATAAATAAGTTTTAATCCTACTGAAAAGAAAAAAAAGATACTTCATGTATTCTAAAACACATATTCTGATGTTTCTAATTTTGATATCTCTCAAGTGTCTTATAACTGATGGCACCTTAGGTCAGATGCAATAAGGTACAACTGCAGAAATTTTGCATTCTAAGGAAGTGGCATGATTTATCTCTAGGATAAATTAAGGAAAATAATCTAGTGAGCCTATTGCTGAAAAAGGTAAGTTTTCTCTTACAGAGCTTTTAATGGGTGCAAAAATAAAAAAATGAGAACTGAATTTCTTTCCAAGATACAGAAAAATGGAGTTTTGGGTCCCCTGTGATAAGACCCCTGGAGGAAAAGAGTAAGAGACCTAGAATGGTAGTTAGAGAGAAATGTGAGGTAGGTGTAGAGAAATGGGCCCAACAACATGGCAGGAAGCTGGGGCTTCAGAACAAAGAATAGCCTATGAGCAGTCCTGTTACAGATTGTGCTGTGTTGCAGCATGTGCTCTGCTCCCCCTCAAAATGGCAGTGAACATCTGCCATACACACTGCCGTATGTTTGGATAATATGTGGGTACTATGGATCTGCATAGATGAAGTGTGGTATGCATCATTTACCAAACTTACTTGTCCCATGGTTAACTCTGTGAAATAGAAAGTTAAGACTTATGAATACATAAGAAGCACTGATAGAAATAAAACCCACAAGTGGATGACCAGAAAGGGATCATTGTCCTCATAGCTGGCCCCAAAGTCAACTTTTCTGAGTCTCTCCAGTTTTTGCACTATCCCTACTATACTCATTTAATCCTTGCTCCAAAAGTCTTGAGTTTTCACTGCCTTGACACATATAAACTCTAAGGATTCCAATTCTGAGAGTAACGGTCTTGTTATGATCCTAACTTTCATTCTTGAATCATCATTAACAGTCGTCTACATAACTCTCCAAATACTGTATCAACAGAACATTTAAGCCACTTTCCCAGATTTATTTTACCACCCTCTCACCACCCCTCAGGTTTTCACTACCTCTGATGACTGCTGTTCCAAAGGTTGTATTAATTATATCCATTCCTTTAGGTAGTCCTGGTGTTTGATCATAAGATTTTCCTAATGGTGCTCGTTGATTGCTAAAATATATAGATTCTTTTTTATCTTTAATTTTTTGTTGAAATTTGGTAATAGGCTGTGGATTTATCAATGTGCTTGCCTAAAGAAATCATAAAAAGCATACATGTAAAAACAAAACAAAAAATGCAAGTCTGAAAACTTACCCCAGTCAACAGCTGAGGAGAAGATAATAGATAAACATTTCATCACTCTCATTAGCTTTTTTCACCCTCAAATGAAATGTCAGAACTAGGGCTATGGCACTTATACATCCATCAGTCTAAATGTACGCTTTCAATAAGGTTAAAAGGTTTATGTCAGGACCTTCTAGGTTATTCAATTAAATACTCCAGTAAAGTGGGAATAACAAACACAAGAGCCATGTGGTTTCCACAAGTTTGCTCCAAATATATAGACGGGCTTTATGAATCTAGACTGTTCATGCAGTCAATAGTGGATACCATCCTGACTCAGCCTCTATGCCATGTATATATAGCCACACTATAGGAGCTCTGGTGGCATAGTGCCTAAGGCATTTGACTGCCAACTAGAAGGCTGGCAGTTCAAACCCACCAGCCACTCCTCGGAAAGAAGATTGGGCAATCTACTTCCCTACTGATACCGCCTCAGAAACCCAAGGAGGGGTTGCTACAAGTCGGATCCCATTCAACAGCAGTGAGTTTGGTTTTTGGTTTTTCCTAGTGGGTAAAAGTCCCCGAGACTATCTTTGTTCTCTAACACAGCCTGACAGCACCTCTGTTTACTGGGAGAAAATGGAATGCAACTTGTCTTTTATTATCTACTCACTGCCCTTGAGTGGGATCTGACTCACAGCAACCCTTCTTTGGGTTTCCCAGGTGGTATCATTACGGAAATAGAGTGCCCAACTTTCCTTCCGGGGAGTGGCTGGCGGTTGGCAGTTAAATGCCTTAGGCACTATGTCACCAGAGCTCGCAGGGGAGAATATATTTATAGTTGTGACTTAAACCACTGGCTTTTCTACATTGTTTTGGCTGCTGCTTCTTGGATTTTTTTCCACTGCTCAAGATTAAGATTTTTAGAGGACAGAGTGAGGACAGGCTATTAAATAGAAGGGTGGGAAGGAGATGAATTTCATGCATATCTCATTTAAGCATTTTCACTTTGGTGAAATAACAATGTACGGGGGTGGGGGATGTTGACAAAAAGAAGTTACCGGTATTGAACGTGTTGATTTTATGCCATGTGTCAGATTAAGTGCAATTTGTGGATCATTTGCTCTGCCATAAAATACTCTTTCAGCTCCAGCAGGTGGATATCTGAAATTGAAAAACTTCTTTGCCTCAGGTGGCGTAATGAGCTACAATGAGACAAGAAAAATCTTATTTATATAAATCTTATTTAGATAAATTGCAGTTTTAAAAACATTTACAGATGTGTTCTACACCTATCAATAAAAATCTTTCATTGCATATCTATAGTAAGGGAAGTAAATTTAATCCCTTGTAGTTTTTGTAAAGCTAGAAAAGCTTTACAAAAGCTTGGAATTTTCACTCCCTTAGACAAAAGCAATAGAAGACCTCAAAACAGAGTAAATCCAAACTGACCATGTTATAGATTTATACAACTTTCATAAGGAAAGTTGTCTGTCTTATTTTTTAATGTTCATATGCAAGTTAAAAACACAGGCACAAATACGTACTGAAAATACTCACTCTGGGAAGTTTTTCAGTCAAGCAATTTGCAACTCTGTACCCAATTGGAGTAACTTTTCCTGCCTAAGAAAAAAAGGCCATAATTGGTTACAGTTAGGATGATATAAGGATATTTTGAAGCATGGAATTTTCACTTTGAAGAAGAGAATTAATTTCAAACTTGGCCTATCTAACACTACAAAATCATATTCAACTACGTAACAAAACTTTTTAAGTAAGTTGTTATTAGTTGCCATTGAGTCCACTCTGTTCCAACTCATGGAGACCCCATGTGCACAGAAAACAATTGCTCCACAGGTTTTCAAAGCTCTGACATTTCAAAGCTGTGACATTTCACTAACTTCCAAGGTAGTTCTGAATGGGCTCAAACCACCAACCTTTTGGCTAGTAGTCAAGCACTTAAATGTGTCACCCCAGGTCTCCTTTTAAATAAGAGCAAATATCAAATCTAAAGTAATCTTGATATACACTATAAATTTTGTATCAAATTATAATTTATAATTATTATAATATAAATTATATAGCAATCATATGTTGTTGTTGGGTGCCATCAAGTCATCTCCAACTCATAGTGACCCTACGCACAACAGAATGAAACAGTGCCCAGTCCTGTGCCAGCTCCACGATCCTTGCTATACTTGAGCCCATCGCCACCAACACAGTGTCAATCTATCTCATTGAGGGCCTTCCCCTCTTTTGTCAACCCTCCACCTTACCAAGCATGACATCCTTCTCCAAGGAATGGTTCCTTCTGACATCATGACCAAAGTAGGTGAGACAAAGTCTGGCCATTCTCACTTCCAAGGAGCATTCTGGCTGCATTTCTTCCAGGGCAGATTTGTTAGATCTTTTAGCAGTCCACGGTACTTTCAGCATTCTTTGCCAGCACCACAACTCAAAAACAACTCTTCTTCAGTTTTCCTTATTCATCATCCAACTCTTACACCCATAACAGGCAATTAAAAATACCATGGCTTGTGTCAGATAGATAGTGTTCTGGTTACCCAGTGCTGCTCTGATGAGAATATACTTCAAGAAGACATCCTTGCTCTTCAGCACTTGAAAACAGTCCTTTGCAGCCAACTTGCCCAGGCCTATATGTCGTCTGATGTCCTGACTGCTGCTTCCACTGGCATCAATTCTAGAATCAAGCAATATGAAGTCTTTGACAACTTCAATCTTTTCTCTATTTATCATGATGATGCTTACAGGTCCAGTTGTGAGGATTTTTGTTTTCTTTATATTGAGGTGTGATCCATATTGCAGACTGTAGTCTTTAATCTTCATAAGTGTTTCAAGTTGCCCTCACTTTTAGCAAGCAAAGTTGTGTCATCAGCGTATCGCCAGTTGTTAATGATTCTTCCTCCAATCCTGATATATATACAAATACATGTATATGTAAGCAGCTCTGGAGGTACAGTGCCTAAGGCACTTGACTACTAACCATAAGGTTGGCAGTTCAAACCCACCAGCCGCTCTGTGAAAGTAAGATGGGGCAACATACTTCTGTAAAGATTTACTGCCTTGGAAACCTAAAGCGGGTTGCTATAAGTTGGAATCAACTCGATGGCAATGAGTTTGGTTTGCTATATGTATGTGTGTGTGTACATATATACACACACATACATACATATATACATGAGCTCTGGTAGCATAGTGCCTAAGGCACTTGACTGCTCACCAGAAGGCTGCCGGTTCAAACCCACCAGCCACTCCTCTGAAGGAAGGTTGGGCAATTCTACTTCCGTAGTGATACTGCCTCGGAAACCCAAGGAGGGGTCGCTATGAGTCGGGGCCGACTAGACAGCAAACAACAACAACTGTGTTAGCACTGGAAGTGACCAATCCAAATATAGAACCTCCATGATATGCTGAAGAGATTCAGCTTTCAGAAACATTCTTGTCATAGCTCGCAAGTTTATTATTGCTTAGTATTTATCATCAGTAAAATGGGAGCTGCATTGGAGGTAAGCCAAAGATAAAGGGTTAAGTTGGTCTGAATGTGTGTGTGTGGAGGGGGAGTGTTTGTGTGTATAATTCCACCAACTTGAGATCTTTTGATACTTGCAAGCAACTCACTTCTGTCCCAGACCCTGCATTTATTGGACTAAAATTTCAGTTGTCTTTGTCCACTTAATTCTAATTTAGGTCTTATCTGCCCTTCCTTTGCCCAAAGCAAAGATGTAACTCTTCATTCCCTGTCATGCACCTCTACGGCAGCTGATAGCTTTGAAATGTATAAATTTATTAGAGGAGAAAAATAAATCCTGAGAGGAAAAAACTTCCCATAAAGACAATTCCGAGTCTCTAGAGGATGAGCGTAGGTTAATATGGAGCATGGGTGGACACAGTGGTCCATAGAGTAGACAAGTGGGTGGATGGATACATGAATATCAGATAGATAGTGTTCTGGTTACCCAGTGCTGCTCTGATGAGAATATACCACAAATGGGATGGGTTAAACAAACAGGAGTTTATTCTTACAATTTGGAAGCTGTAAGTCCATGTTCAAAGTGCCAAGCTCTAGGGGCTACGTGAAAAGTTCCTCAGCCTTGGGCTTCAGCTCTGCCTCCAGCTCCCAACCCACTGACGCTAGTGGCTTTTCTTCACCCAGACAGCTGCTGGCTGCTGAGGCTGACAATCCCAAGGTTGACAAGTAAAAGGCACAGTCAGTCCTGATGTTACCAAACCACACGGCAGGTCATTAATTCAAGTCCATTGAAGTCCCAAAGTCAGCAGAGCATGGCAGGCTGCTGAACAATGCAATGGCTACATGCAGAGTCCAAGCGTGCCATAAGCTAGAGACCATTCCCTAAGGCTTCTGTTTATATACAGGAAGCAGACCACATTCCCTAGCTGCTCACAGTAGGTTCCACCATGGAGTTGCTTACCAGTCTCATCATGGGGAATACTACATTCAGCTGCCCAGCCACTCATCCAGACCCAGCCAAGTTGACCACAAACTGAACTACCACAGACAGATGATAGGAGCTCTGGTTGTGTAGTGCCTAAGGCATTTGACTGCTAAACAGAAGGGTGGTGGTTCAAACCCACCAGCCACTCCTCAGAAGAAAGGTTGGGCAATCTACTTCCGTAGTGATACTGCCTCAGAAACCCAAGGGGGGGTCTCTATGAGTCGGATCCAACTAGACAACAGTGAGTTTGGTTTAGATGATACGAATGGGTAGATGAAAGGTTTTTATATTATGTTAAGTGTTGAGTGTAAAATTCCTCTTTTAAGGAGAAGATTATCAAAATTTAGGAGAATATCTTGATGATCTTTCTAGATATAAAAGAAGAAACCCACAAGATGTGACCAGGATGGACTAGGATAAGAGAGAGAACTGAACTGCTCTGCTAAAAGGAGAACATATGAACTTCTGATGGGATAGATTGAGAAAGATGGATTAAAGATGATAAATTGAGATGAGAGGGAGGCAAAATCTTAGAGAACTAGGGGCCCAAGGTGAGAAACTGGCCATGGAGAAACAGCCTAGCCTCAATGCTAGATCTTGAGTAAATTGTACTATGCACAACTACCTTATATGAGAACTTTGAGCAAAAAAAGAAAGGGGCTGTGTTTTATCTTGGGCTGAAGCAGGGCAGAGAGTAGGGAGGAAAGATACAAGTGATATTTTAAAAAACTTAGCTGGAAATTATAATAATTCTTAGAGATATCAAAAGAACATTAAGTCTCTTGCTATACTTGGGATAAGAGTTCAAGCTATCCTGTAAATATTAAATGAAATGGTGAGAGAATGAAATATTGAATGAAATGGTGAAAGAATGCTGGAGATCATGGGGATACCCAGGCAGCAATGGTTAGAGAGGCAGAAGGAAAAATGGATTGATAGAGAGATTAATCTATTGATGATCTAATAGACAATTTTACTTGACCCTAGTCTGGTTCTTGCCCCAAGTGTTTGACAGTGGACATTCTTGATTACCATCATTTTATAATTTATTCGTCAGCGATGTCCTTGGTATTCCTAATAGAGCTGTCCACATAAAAAGCAGTTTGATTTCAAATCAGTAGAGCTAGTTTTCTATGCTTTCATGCCTTCTAACTGGACAACAAAAATGGAAGCCTCTGTGTTTATTTTTTATCATGTCTTAATATGGTTGTCAACTCTCTTGCACCCCACCCTAGTTGGCAGTTTCATGAGTCTTCCTTATTTCAGTTGTTCTCAAGGATGCTAGCTCATCAATTTGAGGTGCACCATATGACTCCACAACATGACTATGCCCTAATCTACAAAGAGTATACCTTGAATCAAGCCATCTCAAACATACTCTCCAATTTTGGTGAAAATCTATCATGTTGTGGTGCAGTGAATTACTTGGTATGGCTTTTCTAGCCATAGTCTTTGTAACTCCCACTGGATTACTGGGTGGGACCATGAAAATAGATGTGTAGAACTCTGATGTTGGGATTGGTTAATTTTGTCACTTTGTCAGGTTTAAAAGGAGCCTTCCTAGAGGCAAAGAGGGGACTCTCTGCCATAAAGAAAGAAGAGCTGGAGGTGAAGTGGAGCATGTCCTTGGATCCGAGATCCCTGTGCTGGACCTCCTTCGCTGAGAGACATCCCAGCAGAGATGCTCTGGCAGAGAGATGGTGGCAGTGGAACCAATAAGCACAAGACAGAGCAGAAGGCTTATCTGGCCCACATAGGCAGAGGCCAGGCTGAGAGGCCAAAGGCCAGGGAGACATGTCTGAGTGCAAGCAGAGGAGAGACTGTCCTGATCGAAGAACTGTCTCCTAAGCACATTCCTGAACCTGAATTATAGCCAGTTACTTCCCTAATAAACCCCATAATTGTGAGTGTTGTCTGTGAGTTCTGTGTGGCCATTGCAACAAAATTTTGAACCCAGCAGAGAAGTAGTGAGTACCATGGAAGAGATGGTTGGTGTCAAAGTTGGTGAAAAGGCTGGAGGGTGGCAGTATGTCTGGCCTCATAGGAATAAGCCTTAGACTGCTGATGGTGATTCTGTCTTCCTCTTGTGAAGTTAGAGGTCAGAAGATGCTGCCTCCATGTCCTTTTTGCACATGTCATGTTTCATGT